CAACCTGGAAAAGGAAGAACAAGGTTGGAGGAGACTCACGCTTCCAGATTTCACTTACTGCAAAGCTACTGTAGTGAAGACAGTGTTATTCTGGCGTAAAGATAGGCATCTAGCCAGGTGTGGTGCTTCATGCCTGTAATCCCGACACTGGAAGGCTGAGGTGGGAGGGATCACTTGAGCCTAGGAGTTCAAGACCAGCCAGGACAATGTAGTGAGACCCTGTCTCTTAAAAGAATGAAAAATTGTCTAGGTATGGTGGTGCACGCCTATAGCCCCAGCTACTTGGAAGGCTGAGGTGGGAGGATCACTTGAGTTCAGGAGGTTGAGACTGCAGTGAGCTGGGATTGCACCATCTTACTCCAGCCGGGGTGGCAGAGTGAGATTCTGTCCAAAAAAAAAAGATAGGCATCTAGCTCAATGGAATGGAGAGTCCAGAAGTCAACCTTTGCATATATATTAATATATGTATACGATTGAGTTTTGACATGGGCACCAACACTTTTCAATGGGGAATGAATAGTGTTTTCAACAGATAGCGCTGGGACAACTGGATATCCACATACAAAATAATGAAGTTGGATTTCTACTTCACATCGTATACAAAAATTAATTCAAATTGGATGAGAGAGCTAAATATAATAGCAAATACTGCAAAACTCTTAGAAGACAACGTAAAAGTAATCTTTGTGACCTTGGTTTAGACCATGATTTGCTACATCTGATACAAAAAGCACAAGAGACCAAAGGAAAAACAGATAATGTGGATTTCAGCAAAATTAAAAACTTTGGTGCTTCAAAAGACACTATCAATTAAGTGAAAAATGACCACTCACAGAATGGGAGAGAAGGTTTGCAAAGTATATATCTAATAAAGAACTTATATCCGGAATAGATAAAGAACTCCTACAACTCAGTAATAAAAAGACAAATAATTCAGCCATCATATGGGCATGTCTCTAAAAAAGATGCACGAATGGCCAAAAAACACATGACAAGGTGCTCAACATAATTTGTCATTAGGGAAATGCAAATGAGAATCACAGTGAGATACCACTTCTAGGATGTCTGTAACAATCAACAGACAATAATAGAATCTTAGACATTGCTTGCAGGAATGTAAAATAGTGCAGTTGCTTTGGAAAACTGTTCAGCAGTTTCTTAAAATATTAGATATAGATTTACTATATGGTCCAGAAATTTCACTCTTAGGTGTATACAGAAGATGATCAAAAATATATGTAGACCAGATGCGGTGGTTCATGTCTGTAATGCCGGCACTTTAGGAGACCGAGGCAGGTGTATCCTTTGAGCCCAGGAGTTCGAGAGCAGCCTGGGCAATGTGGTGGAACCCCATCTCTGCCAAAAAAAAAAAAAAAAGAAAATTAGCTGGATATGGTGGTGCATGCCTGTGCCTGTAGTCCCGGCTACTCATGAGGCTGAGGTGGGAGAATGGCTTGAGCCCAGGAGGTCAGGGTTACAGTGAGCCATGATTGTGCCACTGCACTCCAGCCTGGGTGACAGAGTGAGACCCTGTCTCAAAGAAAAGAAAGAAAAAAAATATATATTTAGACCCTGAAACTTATGTACACATTTTTTATTCATAGCAGCCAACAAGTGGAAACAGCTCTAATATCTCATCAATTGATGAGTGGCCAAAGTAAAGACGGTTCGCTTAGGATGACATATTATGTGGCAATAATAAGGAATGAAGTTCTCAGCCAGGCTCAGTGGTGCATACGTGTAGTGCAGCTACTTGGGAGGCTGAAGTGGGAGGTTTGCTTGAGACCAGGAGTTTGAGACCAGCCTGGGAACCATAGAGAGACTCTGTCTCTCTTCATAGATATAAAATAATAAAAAAAAAGGAAGGAAGTTCTGATACATGATATGACATGAGTACACCTGACAACCTTGTCCTAGGTGAAAGAAGTCAGACCCATAATGCCGTATATTGTATGACTGCATTTATATCAAGTGTCCAGAATAGACAATTCCATAGAGACAGAAAGTGTATTGGACAGAAACCAGGGGCTGAGAAAAGCTGAAATAGGGAGTGGCTGCTTATGGATACAGAGTTTTTTGGGGGGAGTGATAAAAATGTTCTGGAATTAGATAGTAGTGATAGTTGTACAGTTTTGTGAAAATACTAAAAATGACTGAATCTTAAAAGGTGGAACCATGAAAAGACCTACCGCGTTCCTTACTGAAAGAAAGAAAATGTCAGTATTCCACCCTAGGAAGACGGCTCTTTATTGTTTTTAGCTATCGTCTTTTTCAATTCATTGTTTGAAAAGTCGCTTCCTTTTCAGATGTAAGCAAGCTAGAGTTTATTAGTTCTGTCTTCCGTAGAAGGTATTATAAATACTATCACAGAGAAGTGCTTGTTAGATTCCATCAACACTTGATTCGAATGTAATTTTAAAAATATATTTCAGGGCAGGCATGGTGGCTCACGCGTGTAATCCCAAGGCCAAGGCAGGAGGATCATCTGAGGCCAGGAGTTTGAAACCAGCCTGGGCAACATAGTGAGACCCCATCTCTACAAAAAATAAAAACGTTAGCAGGGCATGATGGTGCACACCTGTGGTCCCAGCTCCCTGAGAGGCTGGCGTGGGAGGATCACTTGAGCGGAGGAGTTTGAGGCTGCAGTGAACTATGATCGTACTACTGCACTGCAGTCTGGATGATAGAGTAAGACCCTGTCTTTAAAAAAGAAAAAAAAAGTGTATATATTCAAATTATTTTACAACATGGAATATGAAGCAACATATACTCTCAGATGTATTGCTATTTAACACACTGGGGGATACCGTGTGTTAAATAGCAATACATCTATTATTAGTAATTGCATCAGTAATTAATAATTGTCAGTTATTAGGATAACTGATGTTTCCAAGTTACCTCATTTAGTGCATGCCTTGGAAATCAAATTTTTTTTTTTTTTTGGAGATGGAGTCTCACTCTGTCGTTCAGGTTGGACTACCGTGGTGCAATCTTGGCTCACTGCAACCTCTGCTTCCCAGGTTTAAATGATTCTCGTGCCTCAGCCTCTCAAGTAGCTGGGATTACAGGCAGAATCAAGTCTTTTTTCCTTTTTTTCAGCCATTTCAGTGTACATATTACAGACATTTATCAAATATTTCACAAAATAGGAAGGTTGTAACTCTGCAGTAGTTTAAAAATGGTCACAATGGCCAGGCATGATGGCTCATGGCTGTAATGCCAGCACTTTGGGAGGCAGAGGCGGGTGGATCATGAGGTCAAGAGATCGAGACCATCCTGGCCAACATGATGAAACCCCATCTCTACTAAAAAAAAA